CCCCAAAACCCCAAAACCCCAAAACCCCTTTATGGGTGCGCCTGATTGAACTTTCAGTAAAATTTCTGCGTTCAAAAAATTTGGGCTCTGCTTGGCTTGATTGGGCTATTTTGGTCGGTGAAGGCTTAGGTTTTGGGACGACAGAGGTGGCTGGATTTGTGGAGGAGTAGAAACTGGGTGCTGAAGAAGGGGTTCAGGGATTTTTTGAAGAGGTTTGGGAGGATTAGAAGTGGAGATCTTGGTTTTAGGGTCGTTTAGAAGGGATTTAGCCTCCTCAGATATTCTTTTTAGGTCAGAGAGATAGGTAGAAGGGGTCTTAGGTAAGACTTTCAGGTTTCTGGTATAGTTGTTGACTATGTGTTAGAAGAAGAGGGTACAGATTTCACTCTTGTTCTCTTCGATGCTATTATTATTCAGAAAGGAGCTTTGATTGCTTCTTTGTAGAGATTTTTGATACCCTCGTCTGATATGATTAAGCCTTCCTCTCTCTTTAGTTTTACTTTTAACATTTTCTTGAAATTTTTCGGAATGAGTTTTGGTCTGCTTCTTTGAACTCAACATGGCTACTCTTGGGAGAGGCTTTGCTGTTTTCTTTTTAAAAGACCTTGGTGGCTTTTCATCAAGACCCCAAGTTTCATCAACAAAATTTGCAACTTCTTCTCTGATTCCTTCCAAGTCTTTATACTTAGAAGCAGGAATTCTTGAGAAAGGATTTTTTGAGATAAGATCAAGAAGTGCTGCTAAAACAGCTTGGCCTACATCTTCTAGGATTTCTATAAGGTTAATCTTTGTCTTACCAACTATGTATTCTGAAGGATCTTCCTCTTTGTAAACTTCACTGTTGATATCATTGATAGGCTTATCAGGAATTATTTCTCCGGTTTCTGAGCTGAACATTGGGCTCAATACCTTGTCCATAATTAATGCTGTATAATGTCATTCAAGTGTATATCAGTAATCGATACCAGTTGTTTGCCAAATAGAGATTCGGCCTCAGCCGTCTCGGCTGAGGCCATCTCTTTTGTCAACAACATTCATCATTTCTTCTGAGAATTGACATTCTTGAAAGTCAAAATTCAGACTATTCATGGAGACTAATTTTGCTAGAAGTCAGTTATTCACCTGACTTTTGCCATAAAGATGGTTTCCATACATGAAGGATGCCTTCTTGCCAGAATGAGCATGGAAGTCAATGTAAACTTTCAGTTTTCCCAGGTTTCTTTGTTGTATTATTGCAGCCTTGGCTGCAAAAATGGTAGGCTGAGTTGTGATAGTTGGGTCTTTATAATACCTATTCAGGTTTTGACCCTTGGTGTCAAGTCTGAAATGGCCTCTGTAAACCCCATCAGGGTTAAGAACAGGGATTATCTTAAAGACAAACTCCTTGAGCAAGGCCTTGCTCATAGGATTATCAAAGTCTGTAAGAAGATCAAATACTCCTTTTAGAGCATGGGACGCTGGAGTTTCTCCAGGATGTACCCTTGCTGTAAAAAATATTGTTGGTTTGTTGAAGATCCTTGGCCTTTTCATTGACCTATTTATGTCTCGGAAATCACCCTTTTATCAGAGGTTCTTCATCATCTGTCATTTCTGTAGAGTCTGTAAGGGTTATAAGCTCTATCTTTCGTTTTTCTAACGAATAAGCTAGAAGTTCTCTTTTGAAGTAGACATCCTCTCTTTCTTTGCATATTTCTTGAGCATGGTTAACCATTTGATTGATCATTTGATAACTGAAAGGATGGGAAAAACAAAATGACACACTCTCTTGAGCTTCAGTGAAGGTGTAATCGAACTGGATTTGAAACCCATCTGGCCCGTTCTTCCAACTGAGGTCAGTAGGAATGATGCTCCAGGGGTCTTCCCCTGGGAAGGACTTGAACACTGGCTTTAGACCATTCTCGTAAATCCTTTTCTGATAGGTTAGATTATTTTATCACAAATGTGTATGGCTTGTTGGGTGTAAAATTGGATACTGAAAAGTGAAAGTATAGCTTATATTTGCCTATTTTGGTAAAGACTAAGATTTCTTACTGTGAGGATCTCTTGTTAATTGAATTTCGTATAGCCTAGAATACATTAAAATAACCTCCAGATTCAGGATTGTAAAGTAAGGCTCTTACCAGACATTTGCTCTCTTTACTGACCGTAGATTTCCAGAGTCAAACTTGCTTGAGAAATGCAAGTTCTTGAATTTGAATTCAGTCTGTTGAGGATTTAAACCTTGTCTCTTAGCTTCCCAAGTAGTTCTACTTTTCATTAAATTTCTAAAAATTATAATAATATTTTCAAATTTTTATGGGGAGTTTTGGGGTTTTGGGGTTTTGGGGTTTTGGGG